GAGGAGCTGTTTTGTTTGGCGTTTGTAGTTCTAAAAATAAAGTTAGTTTCTTTTGACAAGTGGCTCCTGAATTGTGCCCGGCCAGACTTCGGCATGTCTTTAATGTGGACTTTATTGGGTGTCATTCTGGTTGGAGTCCCTTGGGATTCTGGAATCTGTATGTCCATTTGCTTTCCCTAATTTGGGAATTTCCATCAATTATTGCATCATATAAGTTTTCTGCCTCTTTCTTCCTCTTTTCATCTTATGTACATATTGACCCTTCTGATGAGTTTCCATCAGTTTCTTAGTCTTTGTTTATTTTTTTCCCCCATTTCTTATTTATTTTGCTTCTTTGACTTTGTCATTTCCAATGACTTGTTCCTTGAATCTTTCTTTTGCTTTATCAAGTCTTCTATTGAAACTTTCCAGTAAAATTTTCAACTTTAACTATTTCATTGTTTTTTTTAATTAAAAAATTTTTTTTTAGTTGTAGATGGACCCAATATCTTTATTTATATATTTTTATGTGATGCTGAGGATCTAATCCAGTGTCTCATGTGTGTGAGGTAAGTGCTCTACCAATGAGCTACAACCCCAGCCCTGATTCTTTTTTAATAAATATTTTTATCTCTTTGATATTCTTATTTTGTTTATACATTATTTTGCTGTGCTCAATAATCACTATTATGGGGTTATTTTGAATTACTTGTCAGGTAATTTATACCTTCATTTGTTAAGGGTTAGTTTCTGCACAGTTCTTTTGTTCCTTTGATTGGCAATGTTATCTTGTTTCTTTATGTGCCTTGTAAAGCAACCACCTCTCCTAGTCTATATGGACTACTTCTTACAGGGAAAGATCTTCATCAATCAGCCCAGCTAGAGATTCTAGGGATTTCTCACACTTTTTCAGTGAATTTGTGTTCTCTGGCTCTGTGCACGTCAATTCTCAATTAGGGGGATTTTCTGATTTTTTAAAGTCAAGAGTTCCTAGTTTCTTGTTCCTACTCATATGTAGTTGTAGTATTGCAATTTCTCTGGGTCTTCCACATGACGACCAGCTCTCTTTTTTTTCAGCAGCCCCCAACCTTTTAGAGTATGCCAGCTCCTATTAGAGCTTCAAGTCAGAGGAAACAGAAGTTAGTCCTTCAAAAAGCAGGTACATCAGGTTTACACTCCAACTTATTTTCCTTCCCAGAGACAAGCTGGGAATTGGGGTTTTCTTCTGTTTTTTTTTTCTGTGCTGATGTGGGGGAAGCACTACGTCAATTGAGTGTGTGCTAGTTCAAACTTCACCTTTATTCTCAGTGACTTCCTGGATCCCTCTCTTGTATGTTTCTGTTTAAGAAGCAGAAACAAGTCCTTTGGGTAACCGCCCCCAAATCTGCACATTTGGTATATGTTTCAGTCTCTTTTCCTCCCTTGGGAGAAGACCACAGTTGTGAGTTTTCTCTGTCACACCGTGCTGAGCTGGGGAAAGGGACCATGTTGAATGGATACCACACTGGCTACTGGCTTTGTGATTGTCTGGAGTAAAGGAACTTCTTAAGAGTTTTCTGGATTTCTCACAAAGGAAATTGGTCTATTGTGTATTGTATCTGTATATTGTTGAACTGGTGTTTCTGTGAGAGAAACAAAGGTTCGAAACATTTTTTCTCACCATATATGTATTTTAAAAAATATTTTTATAAAAGAATAAAAAAGGTAGCTTTAAAATATTTTCTAGCAATCAAATACATGCAAAAAAGAATCAAGGGGTGTTAATTTTAATAACATTTTATTTAACTCAATATATCCTTAATATTACCATTTCTGCATATATTTAATGTAAAGTTATTAATATTTACCATTACTCATTTTGTATTATTTCTGAAACCCAGTGTCCATTCTACATTTATAGCATATCAATTTTAACTAACCACAGTTCAAGTTCTCAATAATCATATGTGGCTTACAGTAGTACTGCATTAGATAGCTATATCTATCATATAAACATATCAAATGGATATCTATTATATAGATTTGCTTCTATAAGCAAACAAATCAAAGCAACCACAATGATAACTTGGTGCCCTTTACAGGGGAGAAAAGCTGAACGATGAAAACACATTATCATATGCTTTTCTTGAAAGTTAGAAAAATACAAACTAGAACAATGACATGTTATTCTTTATCTATTGTGTTACCAAAACTGAAGAGAAAGAGAAAAAGTTATGGAATATTTGCCTGGTTCTTTCTATGGCTGCCTTTTTTCCAAACAAAAAGAATATTCTTTCCCCTTCCATGTAATAATGAGCTAATTCTCATTTGTGTCTTCATTAGAATATAATGATAAGATGGTCATGTTAATTTTTTTCTTATTCTTACAGATGTGCCTCTGATGTCATCATACAGTCAATCAAACTTATCAGCTTACAGCTTTAAAAACAACAGGAATGGTTTAAATTTCTGTACATGATATGCTACTTTAGGATCGGTTTTCACTATAGTCAAAAAGCTTATTCACATTTCTGAGGGATATAAATTTTTGTCTTTTCTCACAGGTTGACTTTATGATTTCTATCCAAATTAATTTTTATTTTCCAATAGATTCACCACCTATTTTTCAGTTTTAATGAATGATCTATAAGCAGCTACCTGAAGGAATCAATCTTGATTTCCTTGAATTCTTTACTAAAAGGGATTCCTATAAGTTTATTGTAATCTGTTTGAAAGTTTGGGTTTCTGTGAAGTGAGGATTTGTGACAGAGGCTTCCCTGTAATGGATGAAATGTTCCCAGGCCATCAACTGTAAGATCTGTTCATACAATTGCCTGTGGTTAGTTTTAGTCAAGTAGAGCCATTGATGAGAACAAATTTCTTTTCTGCAGTTTAATAAAAGGACTAGGGGAAATGCTCTCAAAAAATACAGAAAAAAAAAAAGAAAGAAATGTTTTATTCCCTAGGTATTGCCATTTGAGAAGAGACCAGAACACAATGGCCAAACTGAAGAATGGATGTCATTGAAAGGAGAAATCTGGGCCAGACCAGCCTGGGGCATAAGGAATTGTGTGGATCCAACCCTTCTGAATATCACTTAAAAGGTTTTCACCAGATGTACACACCTTAAAATGAAGTTTCTAATTGTTCTTCTTTTCCTCCCCTCCCCCCTTTCACAAATCACAAAGAAAAATGGATGGTGGTGTTGGGGAGCCCAGTAGAGAGAGTTAGGTACAGAGCCAGTTCTGAGAAGAAAGAGCATGGTCAGAATGTTAATTTCACTTTATTATCTTACCCTCTGCAAACAGACAGTGAATGCTCCTGCTCAGAATCTGGGGATTTTTGATCAGGAATAGCAGCTTGTCTGGTATGGTGGTATTATCTAAAAAATCTCCACCAGCAAGGGCAGGAGAAAGAAACAAAAGCCTATCAATTCTCCAAGGAGGTAGCTCACCAGTAGATTGAGGAAAGATAATAGGCTCTGCTCAAGTTAGCTGGAGCCTTTCAGCTTCCAGAACAAGGAGGCACTTTAAAGAGACGTTGAAACACATGCTGTAATTACTTCTGGGAAAGAAAACAGGCCGAACTGTACTTACATCAACACCCAGAGTGAAGGAGGCCTTGAATAAGTTATTGTGTGCCTCTCTTCCTGTGTCTTCCTCCCTGCCTCCCTCCCTCCTTCTCTCTTTCTTTCTCTCTCACACACACAAATGCACTTCATCACCACGTACTCCCTGGGGACTACCATCAGCTGTTGAAAGCACAGCCATCTTGAATTGCTAAAGTCGGGAAAGAACCAGGGAATGAGACTGCCTTGGTTAGACACAGGCAGAGAATCTGTTTTTCTGAACCTCCTATCTTCCCAGGAAGATAGAAAGAAACACACGTTTTCCTTTTTATTTTTTTTCCTCCATATTGGATTGCTCAGACCACGTCTGGCCTAACCAGGTGGCTTTGGGGCTGCTTCTGTTCCACTGAAAAGCAATGATAGACGTGCCAACTTTTTCTTACTGAGCTCCAGACGCTCACACATGCTATCACAGCTTTTCAGTTCAGAGAACTACTTCATCTCCAAGGGTTACCAGTCACAGTCCTGGGTCACTTCAGAAGTTTAGGGGTTCATGTTTGGCCATGCACCTCAATGCTCCCATCTTTCATTTTCTTCTTAAGCAAATTCACTGGTCTACCAAAGGGAGGAGGTGTTGCTAGCCCAAACCTCTGCCAATCCTATTTAAGATCATTCACCCTCAGTCCTGCCCCACTTATAGTCACTGTTGGGAATGGAAGAGTCCCTTGCCAGGGTGTGCAGATCAGTCAGTGGGGTACAGGATTAGAACTTGCTATGAGCTTAATGTCCAGGATCCCCTGCATATGCCTGTCAGAACAAAGACTTCCTCTGATCCCTTAGATATTGCTGAATGCTGCATCACAATCATTCAGGTTGTTGTTGTTGTTAAAAATGCATATCCCCAAATCTCACTCCAAACTTATTAAATTAGGTTAGGCCTGGGAACCTGCATTTTAACAGAAGAAGAATAGCTTATGTTGCAATGACTAAGATCACAAACTCTGGAGACTACCTGCTCCCTTCATTAGTTTTTGTGTGCTGTTGGCGGGTATTTTGTTGCCTCTTTTCTCATGAGCTTGATTTTCAAGAACTCTTAAGGTGCTTGTTATGTAATACAAGTGACAGCTAACATTTATGAAGCTTTACTGTGTGCCTGGCATGACTCTAGGCACTTTTAATGGATTTACTCATTTAAGTTTCTCCAAGAGGTAGATAAGAAGGTGACTTTAATTCTTTAAAATCAAGTTTGCAATTCACAGGTTCATGTGTTCATTTTGATTATCGTTCTGCTTTTTGCTCAGCTTTCCTGAGTCCTTATGGGTTTGAAGCTGTGTGTCATTCCTCCAACCTGATTTCCTCAAACTTATGCCCTTTTCACCCTCTTATACGTCTTTCTGACGCTCCTCTGGGGTGCTGGGAATTGGAATCTAATCCAGTTACTTCCTGCCCGTCAGTCAGGCCCAACAGGCCCCTGAGAACAGGGCTGCTGCTGTCCACTTGAGAAGCACCCACTTCCCAAATGGAGAGAAAGGAATTTTCTGTATTTGGAGCTCTACTATAGGACTGGAAGGCCCAAATCATTTCATATAAGTCTCTGTCAGTGACGTTTCAATTACAGCCCTAGCTACAAGGTTTCTTTGGCCACAGTGTGTGGCCTTTCCTTAGAGACTCCTTTGCCTTTAAGGAAAATAACTGCCCTGATTTTTCTTCTAGATTATTCTGCACCGACTGTCTTAGGTCCCTGGAATTCACTCAGTCTCAGATAAACCAGCATGGTTGGCACCCTCAGTCCCTGTGTTACTGGATTGGGTCTCTGGTATGTGGAGCCAAGATGCCCAGACTGGGGTCTGGATGTATCCATGTCTATCTACATTCAGAGGTATGAAGTTCTGAAAAAGAGGCCCCTGATGCTATTGATTTAGGTATGGAAAACATAACAGCACTTTCTGTTTTCAGGGCTGACAGGCAGCAGAATTCCACTGAGCTCCTTATATTTTCTGCAATTTGATAGGGATCTGAGGAATTTCACAATATGATGCTTCATCGAAGGCGCTCCAAACTTGTATTCTGCAGTCTGCGATGTTTTCTGATGTGAATAATAGCAAGAGCTATAAATATCAATTCTTCCCTGGGTCTGGAGATTTCTATGCTGATTGCCTTTGAGTTGGAAAATGGTAGAAGAGCTTGCTTTCCTATTTTCCCCAGAAGGAGAGATTCGAGAAGGAGAAAACAAGAAGCTAGATTTTATAGAGTTGTAGAAATTACAAAGGTTGCCAAGGTAGTTATTCAACACCCAGAGACAACACACCATCTCAGCCTGTTTCTGCATATATATTCCTCAAACCCCAGTAGGCATGAATAATAATATCGAAATGAAGGAAATTACTTGAAGGAAATTGCCTGAGTGGGACTGTTACAAGAGGAGAGTAGGGCTTACTTAATTAAAGCACAGTTTAATTATTGCTATAACTTAAGGCGATGGTGTGCCAAGCAATAAGGTAGGGGTATGGGAAGCCTGGGCCTTGTTGGCTAACAATTAATTTCAAATAGTTTGAGGAGGGTGGTAAGTCATGATTAAATACAGGAGTAGGCTGATAAATGAATCATTAGGGAAGTGCATTTTTAACTAAATGGAAATGAGTCTAGGAAGAATGGGAAAAAATCATTATAATGATTATTCTGTGGCCTTGTTAGGGCAAGGGGGGTGGTGGTGCGGAGGATGTTCTCTAGGTCAGAATAATAGACAAAAAAACTGAGGCAGATACTGCCTCTTGGATGGAATCCCTGGGCCCTGGTTCAGTGCAGGGGGGTGGGGAAGCACGTATCAGCAACAGGGCTGCATAGAAAAGTCCTGTGCCTCACCTCTTCTTGGGCTCACACCCTACTCCAAGCCACCACCCGTCTCTGATGCCTCCAGCTGGCTGCTGAGCCCTGGGATAAAACCCACACCAGGCCTCCCTCATCCTTGCCCAATTTCTGGCAAAGCTATTCTCGTACCTGCACTTCCGGTTTTCTGCTCTTGTTTCTGTTTTTCATTTGTCAACTGGGAAGGAAAATTCTGACTTCTTACCACCTCAAAATAATAAAACCGTAAGATAAAACAACATATACATGCATCAGGGAAGGAAGAGATTTATCTAGGCAAAGGTGAAGATGAGAACAGGAATATGAAATGTTATTTTTCATTTAAGAGAATTGTCCAAAGTGAATGAGGAGAAGAAGAATGGGAGGGAAGCTCTTGATTGATTCAGTCATATGGATTCATATTCAGGTACATATATATGAATATATTCAGAGAATAATTCAGAGAATTCCCATACACCCTTTGCTCAAATTCAACAATTGTCTTGATGTGTTATGACTTTTGTTCTTGTCCTGTCTCTCTACACCACATACCCACAGAACAGACACATTTTTAGAAGAGGTTTGGTATTACCATGCTTTGTCTTTCAGGGTGTTCCTCCTGAGAACAAAGATCTTCCTTTGTGTAACCAGATTAGTTATAAGATTTGAAAATTTAACATATATATAACACATACTTTATCAAATAGATATTTCAAATTTGTCAATGGTTTCAGTAATGAGCTTTTATGCCCCGATTTTTTTTCCTTTCCAATTCAGGTTACAGTCCAAGATTATGTTCAATTTTATGTTTCTGTATTCACCTTTAATTTGGAAATTGTTTCTCAGCCTTTCTTTATCTTATCTAACATTGGAATTTTTGAAGGAAACAGGAAAGTTATTCTATAGACCATTTTTTCAATTTGGATTTATCTGATGTTTCTTTATAATTAGTTTCAGGTTATACATTGATGGCAAAAATACCACAAAACTGATATTGTGTCCTTCTTGGGGTAGGTACTCTGGAGGAACATAGACCCCATCTGCTCCTAATTTCTGAAGTACCTTTTGATTACACAGTTGTGATTCAATTTCTCCACTGTATAATTACTATTTTCCTCTGTGCTACTAGATACCCATTCTGTGAGGAGACATATTAAGACCATGTAAATATCCTGTTTTCCATTCAACTTCTTCTGCCTCTCAGATTTTGAAACAATCTTTACTGTGATGGATTCAAAAATAGTGTTTTTTAACTCTGTCACTCTGTATAACTTATCAGATGGTAGAGTGATGCAGTTAAAAATATCACTATTCTTCAAAATTAATGAACTGTATGAATTCTATCTATCTACTGCTTATTTTTCTGTCTAGTTATTTATCATCAGTATGGACTCATGATACCTGTTTTAGTCAATGGATTACAGTCTAGTATAATTCATATTTATTTGAATGCTCAAATTATCCCAGATGAAAGAGTGGAATGAATGAGCTCTCTTTTCACATCCATCTGTCATCTTTCTACCTACCTACCTATCTAGTTCTCAAAGTATAGACTCATAGTTCATGAGTCATTTACTTAAATTTATTTAAATGTCCATTGCATTTATTTACTTATTTATTCTGATGTACAAATTTATTCTGATGTTCAAATTTTTGCTGCAGTCTTCATATTTAAAAACCAATAACTGGCCACTACATGTGCAAATTGCTCTTAGGTTTTTTTTTTTTTTTTGGTACACAGTAACAGGACATATTTTTATCATATGAAATCATGAGTTTATATTGATACCTCCAATTTCAATCCAATCCCACAGGGTTCTTCTCTACCTCTCTTTAGTCTGTGCTTCCATATCTTCCTTCTCCAGTAGAGAGAAGGAGAAATAGAACCACAGTATTTTCCTTCTCCAGGGGAGAGAATTTTGGCTGCTAACAATGTCATCACATCTACTCTTTTGCTTAGCCTTATGATACACTATATTATAAACCCAAGTCTTGAGGAAGTTCATTTTTAACAGTTTTTCCCTCTTGACTGGGAGTGTATAATCAAAGTACTATGTTAGAAGGTTCTCTATATTAGTATGTTATACGTCTTTATGGTTTTGATTTTCATTTGTAATATCATGATATCATTATTTTTCTGTTTGCATTAAGTTTTAGGTCCCCCCAATACTAGATTTAATTTAAGTTTAAATTTATTATTGGTACATTTTACGTAAGTCATATTTATATAAAACTATTTACTCACAGACATTTCATTCTTTCCTATAAGCTTTATACCCTATTTCCTTCATTATCTGTAGGTAACAATTCCATTGTTTCATGGTTGACCTATGAGTGAAAATATGTGTGTGTGTATTTGCAAAAATTAACAGATACCTGTATGTTTTCTTATTTTTCCTTGTTTCATACACAAAAAGGGAATGTGCTATATAAGCTTTTTTTTTTGCATTTTCCTTTTTTCAATTAACCACATGGCTTAGAAATCACTCCTTATCAGTTCATGAAGATCTTCCTTTATTAGTTTTGTCTTGTGTTTAGTTGCATTGTACTCCATTGTGTGTATGTGCCATAGGATTTAACCAATTCCCTCTTGAGTATTTAAGTAATTGCCAATAATAATAATTTGCAATTACAAATAATGAATAACTTCATGCTTCTGTATTTTTGTATTGTTGTAGGAGTTTCTTAAAGGTCAACATATAGATGTGAGGTTCCTGGCTTTGTTGAAAGATAGATGATGTGCAGCTATGTTACATATTGCCAACTTCCCTTCTTTAGTTCACCATTTTGTATTTTCCCCAGCACTGTGGGATGGTGTGACCTGTCACTCCCCCAGGCTCTGCTCAAAGAAGATACTTGTCAAGCTTTGAATTTTTCCCTCTCTGATAGATAAAAAATGGTATGTCAGTGTAGTTTTATTTTTTACCTATTTAAGTATAAGGAAAGTTGAATATATTGTCATATTGTTTAATTTTTATAACATTTTTCTGGTTTTTAATTGAATCTTGCTTGGCCTTTCTTCTTCTCAATCTCTCAAAATTCTTCAGGGATATTAACTATCTGTGATATGTATTGTAGATACTTACTATTTGTATTTTGTCTTTTGACTTTGTTGATTTTGTATTTTTGTCAATCAAAACATTTCTAATGTAGTCCAATTTATCAGTCTTTTATTATGTTTGGATTTTTGAGTTATGGTTAGAAAACCTTGCCTGATGTTCATACTATAGAGGAAGAAATTCCTGTTTTATTCTTGCACTTCTTTAAAAAAAAAAATATATATATATATATATATATATATATATATAGAGAGAGAGAGAGAGAGAGAGTTGTTGATAGACTTTCATTTTATTTATTTACATGTGGTGCTGAGAATTGAACTCAGTGCCTCACTCATGCCAGGCAAGTGTGCTACGGCTGAGCCCCAACCCAACCCCTATTCTTGTACTTCTATGGTTTCGTTCCTTCCATTCCATTCTTTGATCCATGTGGGGGGTGTGTGCATGTGAGGTGTGAGCAATGAATCTAAGTTCATGTTTTTTTTTTTTTTTTTTGCAAATGGCTAACAAGTTATAGCAATGCCATCTATCTAAAAGTCCATCTTTGCTCTAGTAATTCGAAATGACCTTTGTATCATACTCTAGAGCTCTTATATAATTAAATTTTAGACCTTTTGTTCTATTTCACTCATTGGTTCATTTATTTATATGCCAATACCACACTGTTTTAATTATAGAGATTTTGGAGTAGGCTTTACTTTTTGGGAGGGCTCGTTGATTTCATAGTTCTTCCTTTTCAGTGTTTTCCTGCTAATTCTTGCATATTTATTTTTCTATAGGAACTTTAACATCACTTTCTTACCTTCAGAAAGAGACCTTTATATTTTTATTATGATTGCATTAAGAACTTCTATCCTAACCATGTTGAGATAGCTAATCTAAACACTATGAAGCTCTTTTGCTTGGGAATATTTTAGTTCCTTACAAGTCTAATTCAATTGAATTAATGTGCTGTGATTAAAGCTAGAGAGAGCAT